TGATGCAACTTTCAAAGAATTGTGTATCTGAACCCCTAAGCCTCTTGATTCAACAACAATAATAACAACAACGACAGCAACAATACCCAAGGCCCTATAATGCTGACAATCTGCCCCACTCCTTGCTCCTTATCCCTGAAAGCAATTCCTTATTAAGGAAAAGTCCAAATCACTTCTGAAAGTTACTGTTGGATCTGCTTCCAACAGGCATTCAGATAACATCCGTCAGATCATCAGAACTCACTGAGTAAAATAGTCTCTCCTCATCTGCTCCCTTGGATTTTTTTGCCACATACTTTAAGTTGTGTTCTGTGATTACCAACTATCTTGCACTGGAAATAAATTTCTCCCTGCACAGATAAAACTGCCACAAAAAATTCCACACCTTGATAAAATCATTCTTCAACCTGCAGTGCTCAAAGACAACTAATCTCAGCTTCTCTAGACTTTCCATGGTATGTGTTAGTTTGGGAAACCTGGTTGGCATGGACAAGTTGGAACGAAGGATCTGTTTCTGTGCTGTATGACACTATGACTCTACTTCCCAGCTTGCTTTTGATTACTGCATATTAATTTTTAAAGTCGATAAATGAAATTAGATCAAAGTTGCAATGTAAATTTATAAAGCTGTGAAACAAAATACAACAAGGATGTCAATTAACTGCAGTACACGATGGAAACAGCAATGTACTGAAGAAACTCCAAATGGACATTGTGGCCTATAGGGCAACTTTCAAATAGTTATAGTGTACTAGAAGACGCCCCAAATGGCTATACTATAGTGGAAAGATTCTCACAGAGCTGAATTGTATTGGAGGTATCCCAGAATAACTTATGTGCACTGAAGCATCTCAAATGACTTCAGTCCACCTGTCAAATTGGCTACTCAAAGTATATTTATAGTAACTCAGATTTTACTTAGATTGACATTACTCCCAATATAGTAAACAATAAGAGGGATGGGCAGGCTGTTACATAATATTAACAATAGTATCAACAGCGACACAAAGTTTATCAAAAGGAGAACTAGAGAAAAAGTGAGATTGTTGGTTCAACAAGGCTACACTCCAAACCATAGAATTTCAAGTATATTATTGGTAAAAGAAATTGGAAAGCTATCAAATTCAGATCTATGAGACTAATAAAATATTACACGTGACATGTCGTTCTTAATAACACTTAATAATTTGTAATAAGTTTAAAACCAGTTGCAACATTTTGTTATTTACCTAGTTTGAGTCTATTATTTGATAGACAGTTTAGCTTTCCATTGCTGAATCAGGCAAGATTTTGAAAATGAGCCAACCCCTCCCACTCTCTTCCCAAAAATAACATTTTGATTATGCTTTGCAGTGAGCTAGATTAAGTTACATACACTAAGATTTCCAGTCAAATGTAGCTGCGTGCCCCTGTACTGCTAAAGATAAGTGTTTACCAATATGTGAACATGAGTTGTCAGATATTTTGTTTCCTGCCAGTGTTATGTGAACTGACACGTAGGCTTGCAAAAAGGAATTCAATTCCTCACTGTTGGCTTAAGTAGGCTCCGTTCCAAACCACAAGATCTCATATAAATTGAATGATAGAATGCAAAGGACTAATCAAGTTCCTTTACAGAGACTATTGAAACACAACATAAATGTTGTTCCTAAAGTGCATCAGGAAAAATAGATTTTTTAAAAAAAATCAAACATCCAGTGTGATTTTCCGAAGAAGGGTCCAAACCCGAAACGTCAGCTTTCCTGCTCCTCTGATGCTGCTTGGCCTGCTGTGTTCATCCAGCTCTACACCTTGTTATCTCAAACATCCAGTGTGATTTTGTTTAAAAACCATGCACAAGATCTTTGCTACTCCAGTTTGAAGTTATCACTTTATTTTAGTATGGGGGAATTGAGTCATTTTGTACTATGTGTTTAACAATGTCGTAAAGTAAGGAACTTTAGAATTTTGACCCAGCTAGTAGAAAAGAAGCAAGAGGCATGTTTGGTCAGACCGGTTAAGGGTGACAATTTCCTTCTTTGAAGGACAAAAGTGAACTGATTTCTTTAGGATAATCTGATACCTGAGAACAAATTTGATTTGAAGTACCTTAAAAAAAAATTCAAATTCTCCAACTGTCATGGTGAGATTTGCTTGCATTATTTAATTTATTAGTCTAGTTACAAAGACACTACATTACTAATGCAACCCTAGTGTGCATGACTGAGTGTCAGTCTGTAGATGTGCAATTCAGTGAGAAAGTGGGTACATGTTTGTATCTATGTGTATATAGGAGTGAGTACATATGTGAGTGTCTATGCAAACTGAATGTATGTTGTTGATATGCTGATAGGTTTTCATATGAATTGGAAATATTTCAATCTTGGTCTGTGTCAATACACCAAGTACTTAAATTCATGTGATGCCCTTCAAAAAGAAAAATGCTAAGGTTTAACACAGTGGAGCAACATGCAAATGTTGAAGTAATATAGAAATATAGAAAATTATCTCAGTGGTTGAGAGCAAAGTAGGAATATTTAGCAAAGAATGTTCAATGATTGGCTGAGACAGCTGAAAGCAAATACTAGCTCTAGTTTTTGAGTGTACGTTTAGAAGTTGGGTTAATTCGAGATAGATTACGGCTTCTAAACCTAGGGGTACGTTTTGTTCATAACTTGGAATAATAAATGGTTCTAGAACCTCAATGTATACATTTAAAATAGTAGAAACTGAACAACATGCAAGAACAGAGATAGTAGGAACTGCAGATGCTGGAGAATCCGAGACAACAAGGTGCAGAGCTGGATGAACACAGCAGGCCAAGCAGCATCATAGGAGCGGAAAGGCTGACGTTTCTGCTTTTCTGCTCCTATGATGCTGCTTGGCCTGCTGTGTTCATCCAGCTCTGCACCTTGTTGTCTCAACATGCAAGAACATTTTGCCAACACCAACATGAATTAATTTGCATTGAGCAATGCTGATACTAAGAGAGACCTGAATAGAAAGAAAGTCTGTAAATGTTGTAAACAACATAAATTGTTGGAAATGTGGAGCAGGTAAGTCAGCACATGAACAGAACTTCTCTTTTCAGACCCTGTCGAATCTGCTGTGTAATTCCAACAGCAGAAGGAGGTTATGCTAATTGAATTGAATCAGGACTGGTGAAGGACAGCTTCCACGGAGTGTAGACAATACATCAATCAGTTTTGTCAAGTAGCTCGAAGGCTTGGGAAAGCAGGAGAGAAAGAGAGGCATAGGGGAAAGGAGGGGGAAGAAGGAAGTCATAGAGATCTTCAGGACAGAAAAAGGCCCTTTAACCCATCACGTCTGCACCAGTCAAAAACAACCACTTAAATATTCTAATGCCATTTTCCAGTTCTTGACCCACACCCGTATATGCCTTGGCATTGCAAGTGAGCATCCACACACGGTGCTACTTAAATGTTTGGTGGTTTTTTGCCTCTACCACCCTTACAGGCAGTGAGTTCCAGATTCCCACATTCTATCTGAAACGTACCTTGCCTTAAATCTACATCCCTGGTCACTGACCTGTCAACCAAGTAGAAAGGATTCTTCCTGACAACCCTATCTATGCGCCCCCCCATAACCTTGAACATCTCAATCGTGACCGTTTCCCCATCTCCACTTGGAAGTTACACGACACCAAGTTATAGTTCACTCAGAGATAGCAAGAACTGCAGATGCTGTAGTCAGAGATAATACAGTGTGGAGCTGTAGGAACAGAGTAGGCCAGGCAGCATCAGAGGAGTAGGAAAGTTGACATTTTGGGTTGGGACTCTTCTTCAGAAATGCAGAGAGATCTCAGAAATAAAGAGAGAGGAAGGGTAGGGCTGGAGAAGGTAGGTGGGCTGGTGATAGGTGAGTGCAGGTAGGGAGTGGTGGGGATTCAATTAGTGAGGTGGGAGGGGCAGATAGGTGAGAGAGAAGGTGGACAGGTTGTGTCAAGTCAGCGAGGCGGGGATGAGAGGGAGGGTTGGACATGGGATGAGGCTGGGTGTGGGGAGATTTTAAAACTGGTGAAATCCACGTTTCGGCCATTAGGCTGCAGGCTCCCGAGGCGGAATATGAGGTGCTGCTCCTCCAGTTTGCGGGTGGTGTCATTGTGACACTGGAGGAGGCCCAGGATGGACATGTCGCCCAGGGATTGGGAGTTGAAATGATTCATGACTGAAGGTGTTGTTGCTTGTCGCGAACAGGGTGCAGATACTCTGCAAAATGGTATACGTGTCTCTGCTTGGTGTCACTGATGTAGAGGAGGCCACATCGGGAGCAGTGGATACAGTAGACTAAGTTGATGGATATGCAGGTGAACCCATGTCTAATGTGAAAGGTTTGTTTTGGGCGTTGAATGGAGATGGGGGGGGGGGGGGGGGGGGGGTAGGGTCAGGTGTAGCACTTCCGGCGGTTGCAGGGAAAGGTGCGGGGTGGTGGGGTTAGTGGGGAGTGTGGAGCAGACGAGGGAATCGCGGAGAGAGCGGTCCCTACGAAGGCAGATAGGGGTGGGGAGGGAAATATATCTTTGGT